ATCTGCTAAATCCTGCAGAATATGGTAATGTAGTGTCCAGCACAAAAAGAAACATATAGAAAAGGAATCTTGCACTGAAGGAAGAAATAACTCAGATGAGAAAGTTAGGCAAATTTGGGGAAGAAAAGCCACAGTTGAGTTTTAAGAGTAATTGCTTATGCCCCATAAACTGTTTTCAAGTCACTCATTTCCCCTCTGGTTCCTCCAGAAGAGCAATGAGAGGAATGCCAAACATTCTGGCTTAGGAAGCGTTAATAAGTTCAAAGCACTGTGATCTTACATGCAACTGTTCTGAAGGCTTTCGGACACAGGAAGAGACGTATGGACACCTGGAACGTTTGATCTTGACACTCTGACAAATAATGAATTATTTTAATAAGGAAGAAGTACTGAACAAAGTAACTTTCGAATACAGATAGAAGTTATCTGAGTGACTGAGTCTATACCTTACGTTGATGGCATGGTAAACATCTCTAACGAAAATTTATAAGTAACAACTTCAATTGCTTCTTTTGTTGGGACATACAATCTCAGGTTTAAAACCAAAACAAAACAGAAAGAATGTCTAAATAGTTTTGCGGAACACTAGACTTGTGTAAACCTGTAACTTGAATCCTGGTTCCATCCAAAACCTGTCATATTCAAATGAGGCAGATGAGCCTCCTATGATTTATCTAAATGTTTTCATTTATCATCTTTAGTCTTAGAGCTTTGTTCTAATCCAGGAGAGAGACGTGCATCTGAAAAAAAGCCAACCTGCAAATCCAGCCTGCCCTAAAACCAACAGCCAAGCAAAGCAGCACAGACATTTCTGTATCCAAACTGCTCTACTGGGGCAGAGCTTCCTAAGGAAAGCTCTGGGTGGATAGATCTCACAGATCTCTGCTCCAACAGTTTTCTTGGCTGTTGGGTTTTTTTAAGGGGGTTGGTCTGGTTAGAGAGAATTGCTCTTTAAACAATAATTTGCATACTGTGTATATTAAATGAATCAGAAGTAACCATCTCCTGTTCATTATCACATGGGACTTTTTGCTTTGACATATTTTGACGAGGCACAAAAGGGCAGGATTCAGTATGCACAAAATTATACATAAAAGGTATAAATTATGCTTGGATAGTTTTCTAGACTTCTGCTAGTGACCTCTGTTCATAAAACTTCTTGCCTTGTGATGGTCCAGCCTCTTCTACTCATT